AATGATAAATTATTGAGATACTACTATACATTGCTTTAAAAATAATTAAAAATAACAGTAAGATAAAAGATTTTAAACACACTAAACAAAATTAAGAAGGTAATTTTAGTTGAATTAAATTTATGTCTGTATTTTAATTTTCAATCAAATTGGTTCTAAGTAATAATAATATTTTTATTTTTAACATAAAATTCCTACGTTTTAAACATTAAAAATTTGTTTTTTTATTGAAATATTTAAGGATAGAGAATATATTAGATATTCAATCTTACAATTTTTCCAATAATTGAGCACCTTTTTCATTTCGAAATGGATCTTTAGGTTCTAAATTTTTAATCTTTTCTGCTACAGTCCGTATTTCTCTGGATAACCTATTATATCTAAAACACGCCAAAAATACAATTAATTGTTCTTACCTTGAAAAATTATAAACTTACAAAGTGTAATGTTCTCGTTTTTGAATCATGTACTTCTTCATAATTTTTAATTCGTGTAAATTGTTGTCCAATTCCCATGATATGAAGTCAACTTTCTTCAACAATTTTTGTTCGTGAAATTTTAATTTTCTAACCATTTTGATGTTATAATGATTTTATTTAAGAATTATTTAACAATGCGATTCAAATAATTAATAAACGAAAGAATAACTAAATAAGAACATTCCAAAATATCAAAAACGTGTCTGATAGTTGATACTGTAAGAGTTAAATGATAAGATAACAGATTATCATTGCTTAAGATAAATAGAAGACTTGTTATCAGTCAACAGGAAGTCCAACATTTTATTACTTTATCTCTGGAATTATCCAAAAGTAAATTTAAATTTAAAAATGACAAATCTTAATAATATTTCACTCGTTACACCCACAATAAAAGTAATTGCATGATCATATTATTTTCGATTGTTTACTGAGTTTATTCACACTAATCATGAGTCTATTAAACGCCAGACAGTAATTAATATTATTGTTAACAATACATTTATCTCGTTCACACACTGTAACATAGTTTTTTTTCCATTTATTGATAGCGTACGTCACATAATTCTGTGAAATTTTTCAGTCTTCTTAATCTTTCGTCGATTAACATAATAATTGGCACTGGCGTTCGGCATTTCGGCAGTCGTATAGTCATATACTCACATAAAAATATTGTATGATATAAACAGGTTACCGTTAACTAATCATTTGTTTTAGTATTTGGGTTTGTCATTTTGGTAAACGTTTTACCATGTTATTCTCGAAGTGAATTCAACTCGTCTCAATCGCTGTTTTGTATGATACATAACAGTAACTAAAATATAACAAGCTCGTGTCGTTTCACTCATAGCAAATTACAGATTACATAACTATTAACTATGGCTGAACCTGACGAAAATCCTTTTGGTGATCCCACCCCTTCCGTGGGTCATCCTTTTCAGGTAATTATTTAATGTTTTTATTTTATTTTTATTTTTATATAAATAAATTTAGTAGGTCCTATTTTATTACAGATAAATAATTTGTTTATCAAAATAAGATCACGTTTATATAGTTTATTTAAAAAAAAACATAACAATGTAATATTTATTTATAATTAAATGTAAATGTATTGGTCATGTGTATTTTAACAGAGATTTCATCACATATGTTTATGAACCATGAGATTCAAATATTATATATTTTAATACTACCTAAGGGAAAAATTATTATTAAAAATTGTAGACTTCTAACTTGCTCCTTATTAATACAATCAAAATTATATGTATATACCTATTTATTCATTTAATATACATTAGGTATGGGAAGATAATTTATAGATTACAAAGCAATTATTGTTATTCTTAATATTAATTGTCATTACAAATGTTATAAATAATTTAAGCAGATAACGTTAAAAAAATGTAACTTTATAAGTATATGTTTTAGTATAAGGGAAAAATTGTGTTTTAATTATTTTTTTAGGACCCTTCAGTCAAAGAACTAACAAATAATAAAGTACAATCTTTAATTGAAGACTTCAATCCATTTGGAAAGGATCAAAATGTTGTTAACAATGCGGTAAAATTATAGCTATTGTACTTTATTATTACTATAAATATTTTGTTTAGTTGTCATTATTCTTTAGTTTTAGTAGTTTTGTGTTTTTGTAATTTGTTTTCAATACTAATTTTTATAATATGTGATACATATTTATAATTTATACTTATAGAAAAATTAAAAAAAAATGTTATTTCAAATCTTAAAAATAAATTAAATTAGACTACTATTCATTACATTTATATTTTATTACAGAAACCTGTAAGAGGTGCAGCCAATCCACCACTTAATTCTATGCCTGCTGTAATGTCACCTACACAAGAGTATCCTATTACTCCACAAGTTGCTCCTACTTACGGAAGAAATCCTGGCGATGTGTCAGCTGATTTATTGGTATTTACTTTGTTTATTACTGGTTTCTTTGTATAATTTGTACTTATTTGTGTCATCATTTAATTAGGCTAGAAAAGCTGAACTTGATCGAAGACAAGCTGAATTAGATAAAAGAGAAGAGGAATTGCGTACTGCTTCAATAAATGGTATTTGTTATCATATAACATGCTCATGTTTGTATAAAAATTAATGAAAACTTTTTTTATAAATTGTTCAAGTTCGTCAAAACAATTGGCCACCATTACCTAAAGGGTTTTGCTATCAACCATGTTTTTATTTGGATATAAGTGTAGAAATTCCACCAGATTTTCAACATGTTGTCAGACAACTATACTATTTATGGTTATGTAAGTTACTAAAAATAAATAAACTTACATATAAATCAAATTAATATCAAATATTTATTTTATAGACCATACTGGATTGCTAGCATGCAATATATTGATTGGTACCTTATTACTTTTCTTAACTGGAGCGATAGCTACATTTATTTTTTCAATCGTTTATGCTGGAATATTAGTACCACTATCATTTTTATTTTGGTTCCGTCCAGGATATAAAGCTTTTCGGTAAATGTTAAAAAGTTCCAATTTTTTTTTTTATATAATTAATTAATATTTTCTTTTTCTTGTAGTGACGACAGTTCTTTCAACTTCATGCTTTACTTCTTTGTGTTTTGTATCCAGTTTGTTATAGCAATAGTTCAAGCATTGGGCACATATGAATCGGGTTATTGGTAATTATTTTTAATATTTATTTAATTGTATTATTGTAAAAATTTTAAAATTTGTATTTTTTGTTTCATAGTGGATTGTTTATGGCTGTTAAGCTTTATGAAAACTCTCATCCATTTTTGGGTACTTTAGTAACATTGATGGGAATTGCTTTTGCTCTTGGAGCAACTATGGACTTCCTTTTGTTGACTAAAGTAAAAAAAAATTTAATATCGCTATAGTCAACAATTATTATGATTTAATTTTTTTTTTTAGATTCATAGAATTTATCGTAGTTCAGGCGCCAGTTTTGCTAAAGCACAAGAAGAATTTCGTTCCGGTGTTATTTCTAGTGGTGCAGTCTCCAATGTCATTGCATCCAATATCAGATTTTAAAATAACAAATCATACATTCTCAATATATATTCTATTTAACACACTTAATATTACTTTGGAATATACATTGTTATATTGTGATCAATATTGTACATAATGCAACTGAAAACAACATTTAATCTTTCGCATATTTTAGCATAATAGTCATTACTCAAATATTTTCAAGCAAAAATGATAACAATTTCATAATGATGAATCATTTTTGTTTGAATTTTATTAATCATTAGGACTTTTTAAATATATAAAATTATTTTGTCCTAAAAATTATATAATAGGATTTTAATTATCCTATATATTATTGTCATTTTTTCTCTATTGAGTTCAGAGTTATATAAACATAATATATTTTATGATAATTTATTATGGTTTTTTGTTTTATATACAATTTTTACATCATTAGAAGTTTGTTTGTTTGTTTGTTATTAATTATATTCATTCCTAAGTCTTAACTATATAAAATAATGTAAAAAATTTTGTTTAATTTGAATTTTTTTAATACAATTTTAATCGCCATTAGATGTGCACAAATCAAATAATTTAAAAAAATAATAATTATAAACTATATTAAAATTTGGATAAAATTAATATGAAATTTAATTTGTGTAGTAATTGATCCTCATTAATGTTAACCATTGCCGCCAGGCTATGATTACATTTATTATCGTCGAGTATTGTATTAATTCTAAAGACCTAACAGACGTCATGAGTCATAACCATTTATGTGACGCTGTAATAGTAAAGTTGAGCTATTCTAATTCTGCAGTCCTACAGTTGGTCATAATATATTGTGAATTGTGATTCAGTCGTTACTCGTTTTGTGAGTTTCAGTAGTTCAGTACTCGTTCGGCGTTCCATAGTTTGTACTTGATACGCCACGCCGACTGACAAGACGGTTAAAATAATTAACCAACCTCTTTGGTTTCGGACTGCCAGCGATAACGAGGATATTTTTTGAGCGGGAGATAAGATAACCAGATGACTGAACATTTTGAGATACGTTCAACGCAAACTTTACTGAGGACATTCGAAATCGAACGGACGAAAACCTGATTTCTTTTCGTTCTTAGAGACAGATGAGATTTTTATTGATACTAATTATGCTAATACTGGTACTCGTCCTGTTCGTGAATCGTGCGTTACCTTTTAACACTTATGACTTGCACTGTCGACGACTGGTGGGGAGAGGGAAAAATGGCGGCATTTTCGGCGTGGACATACAACGTCCCGCCGATGAAGCCGCAGCCAACAACCGATTTCTTTTGTTAACGGCATCGATTTCCGCGGCGGCGTCGTCCCTCCGACGGTTCACCCGCCGATCATGCTCCGACGACGGCGATTGGACGATGGTGGGTCACGTGTACACCAAATATGGCGGCCACTGGCGGTTGGCGCGCGTAACGGTCGTCGAGTGGACCGGTGCGCGTGCGCGTGAGACGAGATCGTGCGGGTGCGCGCGTGTGTACACTGTGTATGCGTATCTGACGACTGTTTGCTGCCGCCGCTCATTGCTCGTCCTCTGACTGGTCAGTGTAACATTCGGTTAAATTTTTTCTCCGTTTTTTTTTCTCAACGGTTTTTTACAACCGCACGCCCGAGTGCCCGACTAGTTGAAAGCATCTCGTCACGTACGCGCGCGCAAAATACAGTTAGTAGTTACACCGTGCAACATCCACCGTCCGTCGAACACCGTTGTCGACGAACTCGTACCGGCTGTGTCGTTTGTGTCGCACAACGACAACGATACGTTCCAGATTCAACCAACGCCGTCTCGTAACAACAGAGCACCACCGCCTTAGCAAAAATGGTACGTATCCACTACATGCGTTGGTTAGATTTTTACGTACCACCGATGGACGTTGCCACTCAATTATGACAGATTTTTACCGCGCAAAAAACGCACGCCGACGTTTGGCGCGCGCGGTTTTTGTACTTAGGTCGTTTCTCGATGGTTTTCCTAATCGATAATCCAACAATGTTCTGTTTTTTTTTTCTCAAATCTATTTCATTTGAACAATTTTTTTTCACTCTAGGCTGGTGGTAAAGCGGGTAAAGACTCCGGTAAATCCAAGGCGAAAGCTGTATCCAGATCCGCCAGGGCAGGATTACAGGTAAGTCACAACTGTGTTTTTAATACTATTTACTATTATTTTATTTTAAGAAAAATAAATTTTAGTTATATATAGGTAGTTTAATACTAATAACTACTAATTTAATGTTGTTATTTGATGGTTCCCTGATTTGGCGCAAGTAACTATTCTTATTATTCTCTCCTTTATCAACAGTTTCCTAACCTATTGTTTGACCCGCTCAAAACGAACACAAATTAATCAACTGGATCGTTTTGTGCGCGTCTTAAAGGAAAGCGACGTGACTGCCAAGTTAAATTTTATTAATTGTCATTGATTAACAAATGTATTCTAATGTTATTATTAACTCTGTATTTTTCTTAATGCATAATTAGGTAATTCGATATCTAGTATATTTAAATTAGGTAGTGTTTTAATTTTAACACCCGGGTAGTTAAATTTCCAGCCGTTTTGAGGATACCAATTTCAATATTTTTTAACCTTGGGCAGGTATTAGCTTCTACTATATTTCTATTTATTTCATTAAATATTTATATCTTTTAAGCACATTTGTTAATTATATTTATAGGGGGTAATAAAAAATTATAAATATATTATCTTAAACTTCAACTGACATTTACCATATACTTTGTATTTTTAAATTTATTAAATGATTTTATAATATTTTATATGTATGCTGTAGGCAGTATAATGGATATAAATAATATACTTTTTGTTACAATTTTTCAAGTATTAATTAGTTGTTCAACTCTCCAATAGATAGTGCACCTAACAACAAAATAAATGTTTATTTTATAATTTTGTAGTGATATTGTTAACTTCTAAAAAAATAGTTACTATTAAAAAAGTATTAATTTTAAATTTAATTGCTTATCAAATACTTCATTTATATAATTACTTTATAATTGGACATACATTACATAAAAATTTTAAAAATAAATAGCTGTTTTTATCCACTTTTCAAAAATAATACTATACAATTAAATAAATGATAATTTTATACTGTACTTAATATGATAATTGGATTTTTAGTTATGTAAAAATTATGACACAGTTCATTCTTTAGGTGATTCATAAAATGGTTTTAAATTAGGTGGCTATTATAAGTTGGCATTCTCCTATAAGAGGGTCAACAATCAATATGTTAGTAGAGCTACTGTGAATTCAGAAATTTCTAAAAGATATTAAAATTTAATATGTTTGGTTAACTTGTAAAAAAAAAAAAATCATGAAATACTAATGAATAAATGTAATTCACTATAAAAAATACATTTCTACCTCAAGTTGCTGTGTTTCTCCTGTATTCGATCATAGATTTTATATATTTATATCAGTTAAGTTTGTATTTAAATTTATGTACATAAATTGAGATATGTTGCTCATTAATAAACATTATATTGTTGTCCCTTTAACGATCTATCTATTTATCATTTACATAATTTATTTACAGTTTCCAGTGGGAAGAATTCATCGTCATTTAAAAAATCGTACTACAAGTCATGGCCGTGTAGGAGCGACAGCGGCTGTATACAGTGCTGCCATTTTAGAATATTTGACTGCTGAAGTAAATATAGTTTGAGAAATATTATCTAAATATAATGTATTTAAAATAATGTTATTTAAAGGTACTTGAATTGGCTGGTAATGCATCAAAGGATTTAAAAGTGAAGCGTATCACGCCACGTCATTTGCAACTTGCCATCAGAGGAGATGAAGAATTAGACACACTCATCAGAGCTACAATTGCAGGAGGAGGTAATATAAATTATAGGATTGTTATTAAGCATTCTCTATACATTTTATTTTTTTCAGGTGTTATCCCTCATATCCACAAATCCCTCATCGGCAAAAAGGGATCTCAAAAACCACAGTAAAATTCCACCTGCCATACAAGACTTTAATTAAATGTAAAACATTTATTTGTAATTTGTAAGCTATGTAATTTGATTTTATTCTTTTGCCTTTTTCAATAATTAATTTTATACCTCACAATATTATAAAATGATTCCATTTGCTATTTTTGTGCGAGTGTAGGAGGTATAAAACTTCTTATGGCAAAGACTAATTATATTAAGACAAAGTAAACTTCGACTTTTTTTTTTAATTATATCAATTTTTTCACTAAAGTTATATCAATTGAAAATTGTTTTTGATTATGTTTCTAATCGAAAATCTCGATTACGTAAAATCTAGAATGTACAATATTTTTTTGTATTATTCACTTAAAAGATAAAAAAAAAAAAATAAAATATATCCATTTCTTTTTATAATTTGTGTTTTTATTTATTCCTTACATTAGTTATATTATAAAATTAAGTTTTATTTTAAATTAGATCATCAATGACTAAATTGAGTAAATATCAGTTCTTAATGAACAGTAGGAGCGTTTGTTCATACAATATGATTTTCATGAAATAGATATTACTACATTAGCAATATCCAATTTCAGCGCACACTTTTTGTTCTTTAATATCATCTATTAAAGTATTGAGAAATTTTTCAGAGTACTGCTCCACAAAGTCAACACACTTGTCCTTGTTTGGTAGAACGTCACACAATGATTCTAATCTATACTGAATATCTTTCTACAGACAAATAAAATTATTAAAAATTATTTATCAATGTATTCAAATATGTTCATACTTCAAATGGAGAGGTTTCAATTTTATGTTTGATATCGCGGATTATGTCCTTGCAAATGCTACACTTGGGATGAAATTTTACATCCTTTTTTTTCACTAAAAATATTATTTAATTGAATGAACAGTACAAACTTACAATTAGAAAAAAAACTTACTATACTGTTTGGTACACGTGGTTCGCAACTTCTCAATTAGAGCTCTAATGAGCCAATCGTTGTTGTCATCAAATTTGGCTTTACAACTGTACTTGACAAGTTTCAGCATATCGTTGACCTTTTAACACAAATTTTTTTTTGTTAAGTATTGAAAGGTAGCATTTTATGATTTTATGACACTGATGACCCAAGGAATATAATAAATGAGTAATGGAAAATGTTTTTGTTCATAATGAAAATAACTACAAAATATTTGATTTTAACAATATAGTTTATTAAAGTTATTAGTTATTATAGTTATAATGTTTAATTTTCATCACATTTACCACAATACATGTTTTCTACAACTCGTAAAATAAGTACTACATATCGTATATTTTGGTAAATGGCAACATAGAATAGTTTCAAATTTGATTAGATTCACAGCAGCTGTCCAACAAAATTGAAACAAACTAGAAAATTAATGACAAATAAGTTTTCTAGTTTGAAGTCAATCTAATACAAGCTTACAGATAAAAATTTCTCAGTCCCCATCAATATTCAGTCACAAACAACATATGTCTAAGGCTGTACACTACAATGGATATGAACATAGAAAAATCGTTATTTTTTTTTTAAATACATTTTTAACAATTCAACTAATCTTATAATTTCACAATCTGTTTTAATAAATGTTCATACTTTTCTAACAAATTGAAATCAAACTCTTCAATTGGATTAATAAGTTTATCTAATCTAATATATAAATAAACACCATATTCGCGAAAAAAAATAAAAAATAAATGTTGATTTCATCACTTTTAATTTTGTTACCCTAAACACATTTTGTGGATTTTTTTAAGTGCGTATTTATTGTAGACAAATTGATGTTGTCTCTTTAATTTAGAATATTTAGATATTATAAATATATAAGTATAAGTATAAAAATATATATTAATTAATCAAAATAAAAAAATAAAAATAGTAAGAATGTATATTATATTATAACTATTAAAGAAAATTCAAAACATATTAATTAATTTTTATAGTATGTTTTTATCCTTAACACATAATAAATTTAAAAACCATCTATTAACATAAAAAGTAATATTTATAGGTAATAATAATTATTAAATCTAGAATATTATTATTATAAGTCATATTAATTATAATATTGATTTTACATTAACATAACATGAGTTAATTATTCATTTTAATCTAATATCACTTCACTAGTTTTCAATGACTTTCACGTTCCATGAAGAGTGTTTGCACAACATTTCAGCCTGAAAAAAAAACAATAATACACTAATCAGATAATAAAATTTTTTAATTCTTGTAAAATTTAAATTGTAAAATCAACTAGGATTCTGTAAGATTTCAAAAAATCTGATAAAATATTTTATTAATTTTTTTAGATAAATAATTTGTGTTTAAATTAACAATCTTAGTAAATTAGTTATTCAGAAGTTGAAACAATAAGTTTAAATCAATATAACTACCATTTGTCGCTTTGCTATTCTCAAGACAAAGGTTACATAATAATTATTGATAATTAATAGTGTAAGAAAAATTGAATTTGATAATTACCTTGCACTCTTTAGCATTATCCCAGGATGCACACCAATATTCAGAACCTTCTAAACATCTGGAGTTACTAAATTGGTTGACTGCAAAACTCTTATTTTTAGTGCACAGCCCCGTTTTTTCGCACATCATCCATGTAGGCAAGTGATTATAGAGATTTTTGAAAGTTTGAGCGTACGATTCTATCATCTCCATACACTGCATAATATTTATTTGTGTGAATTTTCAATTTTAGGCTTTGCTAAAATTATTGAATTTACACATACACACTCACGCACGCACAGCGGCTTGCAGAATAAAAATAATAACATATGAACTATTTAATTATTTTGATACTAGTCTATTTAAATTTTTTCAAGAGTTATAAAATAAATATATAATATAATGGTTTGTTAAGATCATAATTTCTTAATAATATGATAAGTGTTTAAGATAAAAATTATTATTTCTTGGGTCTGAATGCCATTCAACTAGCAACACATTTGATAATAATTACCCATAATTTGCTTATTGCAATTCAAGAACACTAATATAATTATTTACCTCGTCTTTAGAAGCGATGTCAACTTCATTGCACAGTTCAATCAAATCTATGTCGTCAACGCTTACTGAATCATTAGTTAAGCGATCTTCAAATACAGTGATAAATGCTTCACAAGCGGCACAACTATTAGAACTATCCAATTCAACAGACTCTTTTACATTCTTTTTTGATAAGTCTACGTTTATTTTACCCTCAACTGTATGGAACACATGCGATATGAGTATTAAATTAATATATAACATAAAAAAATGATTTGGTTTTTATTAAAATGATTTATTTTATTACTTTTGTTTTCTTCACACACCATTAACGCCATACACGCAATACCTGGGTCTGTTCCAACTTGAATAAATTTGATAATTTGTAAATAGTTTGAATCAATAAAAGATTGACATTCATTTTCTTCTACATTGGGTAATATACTACATATTGATTCTAAAACGTGTTCTATTTCATCCTAAAAAAATTATTAAATTGAATTTATTACTTTAACTCCTATTCGATTAAATCTTTAAAGCAATGTAACATACTTGATTTGTTTTGTCTCTAATTTCACTATTCAAATATTTCATTACAACAGTGCATACTACACAAAAAGGAGTCGGAATTTTTGGCTCTTCCAACATTTTGTAATTATTGGCCAATAATTGTCCCATATTGTACCCAGGAAACACTACAGTAATTTGTCCAGCTGTAGCAATCATATTTGTTTCTAAAAATAAAAAATAAAACTTGAATATCCAATATTTATATTTACTAACTTATATAAATAATTAATATATATTATACATACACAGATAATATACTTTTTTTTTGCTTACCTAAATCATTTTCCGCACTTTCAGAGATGGTCTTTGGTTTGCAAATGTCCAATAAAACACAAATTTCTTCAGGCTTAACTTGAGCAACTAACATATCAAGTATACTTTGCAGCTGGGATGAAACAAAATCTGTACATTCCCCTTTCCATTTAGATGGTAGTTTGGTACACAACTTCTCTAATTTTTTTTTAATCACTTCCTGAATATTACAATAAGAATTAGTTATTAATTTTTAATGTACTTAATAAAATTGTTTTGATATTGAGCTATACATCAACCCATCATTAGTTTAAATCTAAAAATTTGAAATTTCAGTGAATATTGATAATATTTAACAAGTGAATAATTCTATTATATGATTTATTTTATTATTTATAAATAAAAAGGATTATTTTAATATTTGAAAATATATTTTGTTACATTATAACATGTTTAATATGTTATCAACTTGTTGATAGATAATTTAAAAAAATATTAAATGTGCAAAGAACCTATCTTACAAACATAATTTGTTTACTTTGAAATACTTTTTAGGTATTCTTATGAAATACTAATAATTAACCATGTTTCTAATAGTTGTAAACTGCATACTATAATTATTAGTAGGGCTCGGAAGTTGTAGGAGTTGCATATTTTTCTGTATGCCCTTAATTTATAGCAGACCAGGCTAGAAATCCGTTTTATACAATGACAAGCTTAAATAAAAAAATTAAAAGTGCATATTTTTGCATATTTTGTCAGTTTTAGAAAAAAGTGCATATTTCTCAATTTTCATATGCTTTTTATGCATATTTCTCAATTTTCATTGGATTTTTATGCTCGTTTAATATTTTCTAAACAAATTGATGTTTTTTTTTTAATAATTATGGTTTTATTATTTTATTTTCGATTAAATTAACAGTCGCGACGCGATGTACCTACAGCGGAGCGTATTTATCTTTATTGCACTAACGTCTTTGCTATCGACGTTATCGTTAATCTAATAGCGATTTGTTCTATATATGAGTGTATTTATAGGTGTATGACTGAATTATTTGGGCAAGTATATTTACCCCGTCAGTTGTGTGTGAACTGTCTCGTGTAATAAATTCGTCCGTGCTCTGTAAAATCTACCTAAATATTTAAAAAAATTATAATATGCCGAAAATTTCACAAACTAGAAAATTCGTTTTAGAATTCGGCGAAAATGTTTTTTCAACAGACGGTACTATTCTATTTTGTAAGATCTGTGAAGTTAAAGTGAATTGCAAAAAACGATTTACAGTTACTCAACATGTAAAAACGAATAAACATGAGCGGTTGTTAAATCGTCAACGAAATAATATGAATAAAGTATCAACTACACAACAGTTTTTCTCTTCAAGTACCTCCAAAAAATGTGAATTTTCAAAAGATTTATGTAAGTCAATGATGTGTGCTAATATTCCTCTTAATAAAATTATGAATACTGAATTTGGGGGACATGGCTACAAGCAGCTTCATATTACTGTCAATATTTTAAAGAAATAAACAAAGTTTTACAACTTCTAGATTCAAGCGATGCGGTTTCTATTAGAGAAGCTAAAGACATTGTAAGTGACCGTTCTGTGGAAATGAACTTAACTTTCATTCATGTAAATTATGGTTTTTTTACCGACAACAATAACACAACTCGAAAAACAAAAACTCCCGTTACATGAGTCAATAGCGACAGTGAAATCCGTCGAAAATAAGTTAGAGCACATTATTGACGAGGCAGGCACTGCAATCAAAGAAAAATTAAAAAATGTTTTGGAAAAAAACTGTGGTTTTAATGATTTAAAAAAAATATCAAGCATTTTAACTGGTGAAGCAACGTCAATGGAAGGACTACCAGAAGACTTAAATGGGAATGACTTGGCACACTTTAAATACGCACCCATAACTTCATCGGATATTGAAAGAAGTTTTTCGCGCTACAAAAATGTACTTACAGACAACCGTCGTTCGTTTGAGATAGAAAATATCAAAAAAGCTCTGGTTATTCAATGCAATACATTTACGGGTATGACGGTTACAATAATCTATATGTTTAATGAATTAAAAAAAAAATTAATATAATTTTTCAAATAACTTTTATTCTATGTATATTTTTAGATTGAAAAAATTACAATCCACCAAACACAAAATACAAGCCAAAACATAAAAAATATTTTTTTTTGTATATACGTAGTACATTTTTTTGCATATTTAATAAATTTTATTTTGCATATTTAACATATTTTCATGCATATTTTACAATTTTTTTGTGCATATTTGCATGCATATTTTGCCTTTTTTAACTCCTATAACTTCCGAGCCCTAATTATTAGATTTAAACAGATGGTTACTTGAAGGCGGGGTGATTTTAAACAGTGCAGTAGCAGTTACAAATAATTACCATTTTTAAAAGTATAAATTTTTAGTTTAGATGTTCTTAACCATTACAATTATTTATTTCAATTGATAAATACCAAAAATTAAAATAATATACCACTCATTAACAATTGTATCATAAAATATTAGGTCCACTTACTTCTGTATCTTTATTAGAAATCTCAGATTCTAAAGCTGACATAAAAATAACACACATTGGACAATTATTAGAACTTTCACTATTTTTGTTTGAAGTCAAAGACAAATCTGCTACTGGACATAATTTCAATTCTGGACAGATCTAAATTAAATCAATTATTTATTTATTATTATATTTAGATAAAAATTATAACTGAACACTCACTATTGATGGATCAACTTCTTGAGCTACAAGTGAAATAAAGGCATCGCCATATTGATCGACAAATTGTTTACATTGTTGTTCAAATGATGATGGTACAACCAAACAGGATTTTTCCAATGCTGTACGGATTTCTGCTTCAGATTTTGGATCAGTTACTACTTGTTGAACATAATTTAAAATCGACTGACACAAGAAACATGCAGTTTTATCAGTAGGCATGTTGACGTCATTGACTATATAAAATATAATACGATATGTTAATTGGTAAAATTACTTATTACACAAATGTTATGTTTTATTTACTTATTATATAAGATATAATATGAAAATAATTGTTTTATCAATCTTACCAACAAAATGCATTTCCTTATAGAATACATCAATAACTGGAGATTTTTTAACGACATTAATATTTTGAATTTTTGGAGGTTGTTCATCGACAACGACAAGTGTAGGTTTATTTTCATTTTGTTCTTTTTTAGCAGTAAATGAACTATCTTTTTCAATTTTAGTCGTTTCCTGGCTTTGTAGAAGTTCAATAGGAATAAGAGGATACACTGGCTAAATGAAAAGATATAATTTATGAAATTAAAACTCAAAATATGGTACTCATTAATGTAAATAGTTATTAACTTACTATCATATAGTCAAGATTATAACGAGAGTTTAGAGATTTGGGGCAAATACCAACTATTGTACAAAGAACATTTCCATTCAATTCGTTAACAAGGAATTGATAAATACGTGCATAATTTTCATCAACTATTGCTAAACACTGAAACAAAACATTATATAAAATACATGAATTATAAAATGACAATAATATATTATATTTGGATAATACCTCGTTTGAGAAACTCCTAGTTTGTTTGCAAAGACCTTTCAATACATCTGAAAATTGTTCTTCAGTCGTATTGGCAACCAAAATATCTCTCAAATGTTTGACCAAGGTTTCACAAAATTCACATGTCAAATCATCATTGACTTTATCAGATTTTTGGATTTGAATTCTACCTCGCTCACCAGCATTGCTAATTTCAACGCCCATCAAAGCATTTTTTGATTTCTACAAATAAATATACTAGTAGTAAAATATTTATTGTATTGTTTAACTCCAATCTTACTTCATAACCATCAGCATGGGGATGAAATATTTCTGAACACATACCACTCAACAAACACACATTACGTTTATTAAAGCCATTTTTAATGGTATTGAATATTTCATTGTGATATGTTAATACTATACTACTGCATGCGTCAGAATAACTGCTCAGTTCTCCACACATCTAATAAATTAATTATGTATAAATAAATATATTTTACTTATTAAATAATATTGATATATTCTACATATTTATAATTAAACTTACCAGTAATATTTTATTTAGAACATCATCTTTAGACATGCTCTGAAGTAAATATTCTCCTTTGTCCATAACAATAGTACATTGTTCACATTGATGGTGTTCACTATCAACTGTTGGTTGTTCCTATACAAAAACAGTTAAATTAGTGCAAATTAAAAAATTGATTAAAATATTATAGTTACTTTTTCTTTATTTTCCAATAACAGCTTATCAATACGTGCATTATTACACAATCCAGATACAGTGCAAACAACATTTGGGTCCATTTGTGAAGCCAAAGTGTCCACAAGTTCAGGTATAAAATCATCCGATAATTTTTTACACTCGTTTTTAATTATTTTTAATGGCAACAAGTTACAAGATCCATCAAAGACTTCTTTCAATTCTTCCTAAAAGTTCAATCATTCAATTATTGTAACCATAATTATTAATCACTTTATATAGATATGTGCATTAGGTCACTAAAAGAATTTTTATTAAATCATAAATTTCTTTTTAACTATTATTAAATTCTTATTATTTTATTTTTAAGGCAGGGATAAATATAACTAAGATATTGTCAATAAATTTAATATGAATACATTAATAACCAACCAATGTAACATTACTGGTGAGTGTGTCACGAGCTTCTTTCACCATATTTTTACAAATAGTACAAATATCATCATTATCTTCTGGATATGTCTGTGTAACCCAAGTTGTTTGAATACAATGTTTGACAGCATTACATCCGGCAGCATTACTAAAAAAAAAAAGAAATATTTAAATTGATTTTTAATTGAAAAATATTTTTATATTTTATTTTCAATAGAATTAATTTAACTAATATTTATGAAATTGAAGCAAAGAAAGTATAATTATTTATTTTTAATTAATAGTTGTTATAAACAAAACCATTTTATTTTTATATTTATGGGTTTAATTGCATTATAATTAATAACTTGTTTCAATTGTAAATAAATAAATATTTTTAAATTGTTAATTTAAAAATGTTTACATAGATAAGAAATAATAATTTTAAAAAATGTGACTATTGAGCATTGTAATATATTCTTAACTGAAGAATCCACAACTATTAATAATAATTAATTGAATGTACCCATTTATTTTTATAATAAAATTCTCATTTTTATATTACATTTTAATTTTTAATTAACTACTGAAATATTTATTTCAAATAAAATCATTGAATTTAATAAAATATATACTCTAAACCACTGGTTCCCAAACTGGGGGGCATGTACACATTGCTGGGGAGGCGCAAGCATTATTACGAAATACAATTTTTATTTTAAAACATAGAGAAAAAAATTAATTAACCAGTTCTTTTTAACCATTAATGAGTATCAATGGATAACCGATAAATATCATTAACAAAAAAATAGTCATTCCAAATAGTGTATAGTTTATTTGTAAAGTACATTGTAAAAGGTGATTAATTATTTCAATTTATAGGAGGGGGCATGAGGTTTTTGAAAATCTACAAAAGAGGGTGTAGAATAAAAGAGGTTGAGAACCACTGCTCTAAACTGTATACCTATTATACTTTTATTTTTATTACAGTAAATAATGCCACATATTGAAAAACTGCCAAAGATAATATCTATTTTGGCAGAATATTTTTTAATATTTTAATTTTCAAAAAAATTAGCATTCATTTTTTTATTTGTTACCAATAATTATTAAAAATAAAAACATTAAAAATACTTTTCACGAAACAAACAATGTTATACTGAGTTAAAATACTATAATTTCAAAAATATAATCATGATTGGTATACTAAAATAGCTACATTTCAATTAAATTAAATACAAGCAAGACAAAAAAAAATGTATGCTATAATAGTTTACCCTCTAAATAATTGATTATTCAGAGCAAGACGTTTGATATGAATTTGGGATATACAGATTCTTTTATGATTTACATATTATGTAGACTTAATACACAACATATTGAGTGGGTGAGAGAAGCATTTGTTGTGTAAAATAGTGTGATAAAGTAAATATGCAATAAATGAATTTTGATTAATGGTGAGTGAATAATTAGAAAACATTTTTCAAAAACAAAATTCTACACAATTGAGTTGATAAAATATAATTTTTTATTTAATAATAGATCTTGTTCATTGTATATATAATTTAAAAAACATCATAGACGTAGTTAGGGGGGATTTTGAGGTGCTTAGCCCCCCAAAATACGGATGAAACCCTTCATGCGTCAGTACATGTCTATCTCTAGAAAGCCTACATCCCCCTCCCCCCTCAAAAAAAAATTTGACTATTATGAAAAATATTAAACCTAACTATTAATAAAATAAATATACATATATCAATATTATAACTATTAGAAATTAAAATTTGTAGTTTTAACTTCAATAGTTTTTGTTAAATAATATAAAATAAGAGTAAAGATTATTGTATTGTTGATCTAAAGACAACACATTTATGTAAAAACAGATGTACAAATACTACAAACATAATGAAAATAAATTACAACATCAATAAAACCACCTATAGAAAACAATACAAAAATCAAAATTTAATGAAATTAAAGATTAAATATCTAGTTACATTTAATTATTCACAATTAATATAAACAAATAATTTAATATTTTGCATTAATACATTAATTATTAGTAAATATTCTTCACAAGTCAAAAATGTTTAAAATTTAGATTAGTGGGTTAAAAAATAATGTTATGAAAAATTATCATGAGGCAAATTTAAAATGAATGTGTGATAAATATTTTATTGTAATTAAATATTTATTTGTCACTTAATTTACTATAAACAGTTTGATAGAAATTAAGAAACTATTCTGTCGAAAACAATTTAATATGAATTAAATTGATATAAGTTAATTATTTTAATAATTAATTTAGATTAAATTATTAAGTTATGTAGATGTGGTAATATTGATTTCTAAAGAATTATAAAAATGTTTCAAAAAGGAGATATAATAAAATACCATGATTGTATACTTGACAATGAAGTTCATTATTATTTAATTACCAACAAAATTAAAATACTTTTATAAAAAATGTTACAAACATCATCTAATGTTCTGGCATATAAAAATGTATTAACAGCTGGATACAACTTACTGTAGTAAGGCATGTCACAAAAGGATGTCTTAGTCATAAATGACTTATCAGTATATAGTATTACGGATAGTTTCCTGTTATTCAAGGTTATCCAGTTTTTTTAAACAAATATTTTTGTTCAATTGAAATAATAAATAAAATAATTAGAATTTTACATTTTTGTTTATTTTGTTTAGCACATTTTATTGATAACAGTAAAGTAATGTATTTTTTTTTTTTTTTTTATATAATCATAATATGAGTTAAAATAACGTATATTATTGCCCAAGAATGCATATTAAATTCAATAAATTATTATTATTGACACTTTATCTTAAGGTACTTGATATCTTAACTGATAATTAGTATAATATACAAATACACCTATAAATAGTATAAAAAACTCATAATAACACTTAATTTAAAATTAATCATAAATTATATAATCAGGTAATTAAAATGTAATGTGATTAATGACTATACACCCAAGATCAAAAACAATTATTGAAACAAACAATATTAAATGAATAATTTTCTTATTTATCATGAAATTATTAAAGTAAATAAATAATGAATAAATACTTAAAAATATTGAATTTAAATAATACTAAAGTTAATTTTGTCAAAGTGTAACAACATCACTTATTTAACAATCATAATTCGATTTTTCTTAGTTCCTTAAATTATAAATATTGAACAAGCCTAATGTTTATGTTGCAGATATAATTTATTGATTTTGAGTTATTTATAAGCTAAACTATAGGACCTATAGTATAGGTAGTGTTTTTAATATTTTCAAACCTAATAAACTGTAACATAAAAACAATAAATGAAACGATGACGTGGCCAAATATACACAAAAGAATAAATACAAAATATATATATTTTTTCCACTATACAGTTCATCATGTGAATTATAGAAACATTTACTCACGTAATATTTTTACACCAAAACGACGGACCATACGTGCATTCTTGTGAGCCGAGCATTTGGACATGTTTTTGGACAATGATAGTTTCAACATTAGCCAAAGCACCTAGGCACGAAAAGAAAAAAAGTAGAAGTTGGACAGTGGCAGTCTATCAATGACAATATTCAAACACATCTAATATCAAGGTGTTTGAATATCACAATAATAATATATAATAACATATTTACAATATTATAGATAAACCAGGCTACTGTTGTGTAGTACTTACCGGAGGACAACAGTGCGACGAGGCCGAAAAAAGCCAGAGGCCTACAAAGGCACGCAATACCCGCGGAAGCGGTCATCGTCAGGGTTGTTTTCGACGATTAATGCTTATGAAAAACTGCACGAAATATAATAATTTACACAATATTTTATGGTTCGGACGTTGTTCATCAAGCAAACAACGTGAGACGGCGAACGTGTGGATGTCGACTTGGTCGAGACAGCAATAATAAAAATCGTAACGTCTCACAACAGTAACAAAGGTCGGAGAGTGGAACGCGAACGCGTCAGTGCATCACAACAATAATGCAGCGTTTCACGTAGTCAGATTACAAAAATACAACTGGCTTACGATAATAAAACGTGAAAAGGTTTTTGTTTGCATTGGGCTCGGGATGCCAAGAGGAAGACAAGCGATACGACGACCTCTGTTGCTAAACTGCGACGGAGACGTACGGGGGAATTGATAATAGCAATGTTGTCCGGTTTGCGGTGCGGTAGGGTGGTTAGGAGTGGGGGGTAAGTAGTATTAGTACTACTACGTAGTAACAATTCCTATGCTGTGTACATATTGAATAATAATAATAATAATAATAATAAACGCAACTGCTGCAACTATACGTGTCTACGTACAATCGCGTTATTATTGTCGCGTAGAAGTAATTTAGATATTTTAACATCATTATAAATTTATACATATCGTTATTTTATACACCTACATGTCAGCTGATTGAAATTAAACCAACGAGACAATGTATCGGTTGTTATCAATTTATAAACTAAAATTATGAAATTTTTACATGCCTATTTAACATCTAGCCACGACCTTCAGGCTTGCATAATACGCATAATGCATACCTTTGTATATTATAGTAAATTAATACATAAGACTGTTATTACCCAAAAAAAAAAAAAAAACAACGGACCGTTTCTTGAGCATTTATTGTTGTTTTAAAAAAGAATTCAATAAATAACATCATAAATTAAAATTAGACCAACTCGCAGTTATATGACTTGTGTGTCATTAATTTTGATACATCGGCAGTACTTACTTTACAATTATCTACTCTTTGACATGACTACGGCTAAATAATTAAAAAAAATTTTGCTACAATTATCGTCATTGTGATTGTCGTTACTTATCGTTCGAGCCATACAAGCCCTGCGTGATCATCAGTGATTGGGCTGGGAGCATTCTGTGCAAATGCCTGAGGCCTTTACCCTTTACTTGTTTGTTGCTAAATGTTTGCTGTTACAGTGAATAATTGTATCGATCTTCTTAAACTACACACTACAAATAGGTATTTATCGAAAAAAATGTACGCCAGTGCTCAATGCACTATAATTGCAATACTTCAGAAAAAGTGTTTACAATTAATATTTTCATTTTGCATTTATCTATAGAACCGTTTGGCACTACTTATAAATTGTATTTTTAATTTTTAACATAAGATGTATAATTGTTTTGTTTTATACGTATTTTGAAGTAATGTTTATATATATTAATATCTTGAATGGTGAATACCTATATGGCTTTATATATGCTATAGGTACCGTTAAAATATAGATACTTGTAAAGATACACGAATCTGTTAAATAATAAAGTTAATACAGCGACGAACTCTGTGATTTAATATTATGTAACTAGCTTATAGAATATTATAGGTAGGTAGTAAATAATGACCACATTCTTTGATGCATATTATTATAATTATATAATTAGATTATAGTTATAATTATGTCGGTATTCAGTTACAAATAGACAAATGGTTTTTAATATTTTTTATAGACAAATGGCTTTCCATTTTTACAAGTATTGTAATCGTATTTGTATAAATAGCGCTCAAATAGGCAAAATAAGACTAGAAAGTAGAAGAGCAAGAGCTATATTTGATTTTTAAAAAAAGGAGCATTCAAAATACTATATAATTGCTTATAGGTAAGGTACGTATTGCTTATATACGAGGTACTAATGGTACTATATAAAATACATTTCACTTAAAAGTAGTAAAAGTACGCTAGGTACCCATTTAAAAAAAAAAATAATTATGGTACTCTGAACATCAGGGGTCACCCAATTAATGTTTTCGAAAGGTCACATAAGAAATCTGAAAAATTTGCAAGAGCCATCATATATCTAAGTACATATTTTTAACATAATATGATACATAGATATTATTTTAAAATTGGATCTAATGAGAACATTATTTTATTTTATTTATTATTTGCTTTTGTTTATACATATTAAGAACCTTAATATTACCAATATTTAAAAACATTTAAAATAAAAATTAGTTATAAATACAAAAAAAATTAAAACTACATAATATTTATTCTTTATTTGTGGGCCAGATAAAATTTATTTGCCAGCTGCTATTTGGTGACTCCTGTCGTACACTTACGACCCCTCCTTTAGTCCTCCATCATAACAAGTCAAGCTTTAAAAGATATTATTAAGACCTCAATTTTCCTCACCTAAATATTTATAATAATTTTATAGATTTATAGAATATACACTTTACATATGAGTCATATGACTATAACGAGTCATCATTATCTATATTACCTATTGCAATAACAAATAATAATACATTTACACATTCGACAATTTGCATGACATAATGATTATTTTGATATTAAATATTTGTATCATATTAATATTATTTCAAACTGATTAAAGTCTAAATAGGCTATATAGCATCTCTTTTAAATATTTATCTACTTTATTATTATCTATTTAACTAGGGTGACTTGGAAAATTTAGCATGCTGGCACTCATCAAATAATAACACAATATAATATATGCATCATCATATTATGATTGATTCAGTTAGTCATTTAGACAATAATGATTGAATACTATTATTATTTTACAAATTTATTGAGTGAAAAATATACGTTTGAAAATTTATAAAACATATTTATTATTAATCCCGGACTTTCCTGCACAAGCACGCATCCTTGCAAATTATACAAGGAGAACAAATAAATAATATTGAGCTTAATAATCCTCATAGACTCGTGGACTAATTTTTGTCTTAACTCCTAATTTTAATGGGTACTGTTTAAAAAAACTAAGTGACAACATAAATACGTCTAGTAGATGGTATAGGTCAGCATATTATATAAATTATAAAGACTAAATATATGTCGGTATACCTATACTAAATTTAATCAATGCTATTAACGAAAAAAAAATATATATCAACCAAAACTAAGCAAATAAAAAAAAATTAATTTTTAATCTTTTACAACTACCTATAATATAGAAAAAAACAAAATACGTATAAAAGGAGGAAATTTTAATATTTTTTTAAAAGAGGCCGGAAAAACAAGGTCATTAATAAATAGAGGACAAATCCTCGTAAAAGAGTACGTTTAGTCACCCTGGTAGATATTAGTACTTAATAGATACCTACGTTAATTCCACCATATTATATGAAATTCGCGTCTCTAATAATGTTGGCTGAATGATCGAACGAAACGTAAGTCACAAATCACAATGATTGTCGTGCGCCCTACACAATGTTTATTGCATTAGTGCCAAGTATTCATAATATAACACATTGCGTTCGATTTATTTAAAAACAAATAAACCATTGTCCATTGTGTATTCGTGTCAAAAAACAGACGTTTCTTTTATAAAACTATTAAGATAGTTTTAAATTTTGATTTAATGCCTTTTTTTATTATACTTATTAGGTATAAACTATAATTATTATTCGTGTAATAGTAGTATTTTAGTAGAGAAGCAAAAAATTGATAACACGATATCTATATTATAAAAAATAATAATAATATTATAAATATATAAATAGGTACAATATATAGCTATATGCAGTGGCGTATTTTCAATTTTTTTGTGGGGGGGGGGGGTTTAATATTAAATATAAGTTTATAACATTATAATAAAATACATACAAGTTATGATTTAATAATGATACTATTTATATTATATTATATTTCACTATTATTATGAAAATAAATGTCAATTAATAGTTAAACCCAAGTTATTTTTAAAAATATTGTAATACAAACATTAAAAACACATAATATAAATTAATATTATTTTTTCTGGGGGGTTGTGACCCGGGGACCCCCCCCCCCCGTAAATACGCCTCTGGCTGTATGCCTGTATATTATATTTAATTGCGTCTCTCAGTTTTTCATTGATGAGTAAGGAGACGCTATTGTAATCTAATTATAAATAATAGTATGTCATTAGATAAAGTCGATAAAGAATAAATATTTACAACACACAGATGACAAGAGAATAAGAAATAAATGTTAATCTAGTAAAAAACAAAAAAACATCTAGGAAAAATAATTTCGAAACATTGTAACACAGTTCATTTACGATATATTTTAGGGATACATTTTCAAGTTCCTGTAACTTGATCTTTTCTAAAAATCGTTATTATTTTAAGTTAAGGTTAGTTATTACTTATTAATATCTTATAATTTATAAACTACTTCTGTAAAGTTGTTCAATACCTGACACTAATTGAAGGGTCCGGTGCAATAACAAGGTATCTCCACTTTTTGAAATTGTTCAGGAGACATAAAAAATGTTTTTACTGACCCACCTTTCATCATGTTACTGTTTCCAAAACTGATTTTTATGCTTTGGATGTATATATAACATTCCATAAAGCCTTATTACTTTTAAATAAATTTGAATAATTTTAATTAATTAATTCAAGTTTAATTTAGTGGAGATATATGGGTTCTTGCCCCAAAATTAAAATCCATGTTTTTTGTTTTTTTTTTATCTCAGAAATTCTTTCATCATATGTATTGAATAATCTCAAAAAACATTTATAATGTGTAATTTATACCTATAATCAAAATCATCCAACCTATCACAACCTTTTATAATGATTAAATTGAGTAACTATGTGTTTTAAGGAGATACCTGGTTTTTTGACCCAAAATATAAGTAAAACTTTGGTCTATGCATTCATTAATGTAGCTTTGATATCCTTTACGACTAAAAAAATACTTAACAAAACTACTTTGGTAGGATATTTCATTTTAGAATATAATCATGAGCATATTAGTACCTATTAATGAGCACATAATAAATAAATAGAAGCATTATCGGAGCATAAACAAGGTATCTCCGGAGATATCTGGTTCTTGCCCAGAAAATGCTTAAAGTACAGTGTTGCCATCTTTCTGAGCATAAACAAGGTATCTCCGGAGATACCTGGTTCTTGCCCAGAACATTTAAAACCAGATATCTCCTTTTGTATGATATTAGCGTATTTAATAGTCGGAGATATATCGTTATTGCACCGAAATGTAGACAAATTTTTCCACTATTAGAATATGTTAAAACATGCATTTCGAAAAAAAGTGGAGATACCTTGTTATTGCACCGGACCCTTCAATTATTACCTAGTTAATTTTAAATTTTATGTATCCAATTAATTTTTAAAGA